AGGAGAGAGGAAGGTGGGCCAGACAGAAACACAGGCCCTAGAGCTGAATATCTGGGCTTAGACATCAGCTCCCCCATTTATTGGTCATGTGGTCTTAGACCAAGTTACCTAATCTTTCTAAACCTTCATTTTCAGTTTTATAAATTGAGGATAACAATTCTCACCTCATAGGCTGATGATGGCTGTTGTTGCGTGATGTTGAGTCAGAACTGACTCATAGCTTACCTCTCCAGTGTGTTTTCAGAGACTGTAAATTGCATGAAAGGAGATTGCTAACATGTGTCCCTTGGAGCAGCTGGTGGATTCCAACTGCATGCTTTTGGTTTGGCAGCACAGCTCCTTACCACTCGGCCACCAGAGCTGAAGCGAGAATGAAATGAATTAGTACTTGGGAAACCTGTAACCCCAGGACCTAACCAAACACACCAAACCCACTGCTCTGAGTTGGTTATGACTCATAGTGACCCTCCATTGGGTTTCTGGGCTGTAGGTCTTACTTTTTTCTTTTTCTTTCTTGTTCTGTACCATCAAATTGGATCTGACTGGCACAGGAAGAGATTGCCCCTCCTTCTCCAGTGGAACATCTGGTGGATTCAAACCACACACCTTTGGGATTGCAACACAGCTTCTTGCCACTAGGCCACCAGAGCTACAGGGTTGTAGGTCTTTACAGGAGGAGCGTTCTCATCATTCTCCCTCATTCTTAAAAGGAAAAAGAAAGTAATCCCCCCTAACAAATTCTATACTCCTAATAATTATTTTTTTTATTAGATCTCTTTCTGTGTTCTTTTTTACACCTGTAGTTTTAATGGTAGTTATAATAGACATAGGTAGTTTCTTTTCTACTTTTGTTAGGTGCTCCAGTGGCACACTCTGCAGTGGCACACTCTGGTGATAATGTGTTGCATTGTAGCCTAAATGTCAGTGGTTTGAATTCACCTGCAGCTCTTCAGGAGAAAGTCAAACAGTTTCCTCTCATAGCAGTTTACAGCCCCGGGAATCTGAGGAAAGGTTGCTCTGAGGAGGAATTTACTTGATTCCAGTGTGTATGATTTGGTTTGGGTTTGATTTTTGTCATTTAAGGTTTAATCTTACATGCTTCCATGTCATCCATCACTTAACATAAAAACTACTTTAGTCTCCAATCGAGTCATTTTACTGAGGGTATTTTTGACTACAGAAATTACAGTGTCCAGGTTGGGCATTTTCTGTGTTCTTCTGATAACACATTTAGAATTAAAGGGCCACATGGTTTGCTGACTCTGAGACCATGCTGGAGTTTGCCGACTGTGTGCCTCACCTACTCTCTTCATCACTCAGTGCACTTTCCAGACCCCAAACTGTGTGGCCTCAGAAATGGAGAGTTCATAAACGTTGTGTTTCACACTATCCTGCATTCACCTTGTGTTACACAATCAGTCTCATTCATTATGTGTTATAAAATCATTCACCGTTAAGCCATGCCCATCATTACTCTGTCTTTCCAGATCCACACAAGATCTTTCCCATATCACCCCCTCCACCCACCAAATTGTGTGACCCTTTGATTTCCGTCCCTTGTTCACCTTCCCTCCTCTGTTCTCACTCTACTTCCCCTTGGATCTTCATACACATTTTACTAATTATTCTTCTGAGAAACTGGTGTGTGTGTGTGTGTGTGTGTGTGTGAGAGAGAGAGAGAGAGAGAAAGAGAGAGAGAGTGTGTGTGTATGTGTGTGTGTGTGTGTGTGAGTGTGTAAGAGCAATACAATAATGTGATTTTAGGCCACAGTCGCTGACAGCATTCACTGAGGCCAGCCCACCAGTCCTTGTCTAGACTCCCTTCATGTAAAGTAATATAATAGTAGCAACAGTCGTGGTTACATGCTTGGAAGTGGGCCACAAGTTGTGGACCAATACTTTGTACCTTCATGCATTAGGCTGCCTTGTCCCACCAGCAAACTCTGCCTTCCAGTTGGTTCCAACTCACTGACCTGGTAACATTTTATAGTGGTTTGTAGTGCAGCTGAAGGAAAAAAACCAAACCAAACAAAAAAGACCTGCTGCCGTTGAACCCATTTTAAGCCATGGTGACCTCGTGTCACACAGTAGAGCTGCTCTGTGGGTCATCCTGTACTCATTATGGAGGCAAACAACGAAGTGTTTTTTTCTGTGACATAATCTGTACACAGTTCACTCAAAAACTGAGTTGTCTCCAGTGATTCAGATCTACCCTCGACTCCATAGGGAAAAGATGGGTAATCTCCTAGGCCACAGCCCTGGAATCCCAGTGGAGGGTCATTGTAAGTGAGAAAGTTTCAATTTTCTTCTGTGGAGGCCCTAGGTAGATGCCTCTTGCCTACCCTTCTATTAGGGAGCTCTGGTGGCCTAGTGGCAAGAAGCTGTGCTGCAATCCCAAAGGCATGCAGTTTGAATCCACCAGCTGCTGCCTGGGAGAAGGATGGATGGGCAGGCTCCTCCATGTGATTGACTGCCTCTGAAAACCCACTGGGGGATTCTCTGGCTATGAAAACCTAGCTAAGGATCAGTTCTGACAACCCTTCCATTAGTAACTAATCCCCAGTTGTTTGAGCCCCTATGGTTTCTAACTCCAAACCCCAAAACTTACCACTGTTCAAGGAATTTTACCTGTTACTATTATAGATTATTGACCTTCTGGGTTGAGGTTCCCTTGGGTCCCTGTCCACCTGTTAAGGTGTGCCCTGTGCTGATGTCTGACTGTGAATGTGACATGTGTAATGGAGAAAGCCTTGCATTTTCCTTTTTCTGTTACACGCATAGAAGCATTTTTTTTGTCTTTTTCATATTTGCTCTGTGGATAAAAATAAGCGACTGTGACAGGATTTCCCATTTGTTAATCTTGTAAAGTTCAGCTAGTCAAGGACAACTAAGGAGAAGACTTGTTTTTTGTGAGTTGGGGTTTTTTTTTTTTAGATTTTAATGAAAGTTTATAGATTGGATTTCCATTCATTCATTGTTACACAATTTCCTCCCTGCCCCCCTTTAAGGAGAAGACTTGTGAAGAACTGTTTTTAGACTGAAAGGAGGCTTGGTGGAGCAAACTTTAAATATTGAGCTGCCAATTGAAACATTAGTGGTTCAAACCCACCAGGTACTTTTTGGCAGAAGGGCTTTGGTGACTTGATCCTGACAGTTATGCTCTTGTCATATGGGGTCACGAGGAGTTGAAATCAACTCAACTCACACACCACCACCACCACCACCAATTTTCAGGCTGTCCCAGCTCAGAGCTGAGGAATATTTGCAGTTTTCTTTCTGTCTGGAGCTCTGGTGTGCAGTTTATTGTTTGTTGTACTGATTGATGACTGAAAGTTGGCTGTGCCTCCATCAGTTCATGTCCCCCAGTGACTGCACAGGGAAGACATAGGCAGTGCCCTCCAGTTATGGACTGCTCTGAGTTGAAATGAACTGGAGGGCAATACGTTCCTCCCTTTGCCTTCTACCATGCAGCATCAAGAACTTTTATATTGTTTTGCATACAAAATTTGTAGACATTGTGCTTCCTTCACATATGCTGCATTTCACACATGCCTTCATTCGCATTGTGTTATACAATCATTCCCATACATTGTGGTGGTATTTTTTTTTTTTTTATTTTTTTTTGAAACTTTTTATTTCATTATTTTTTGTGTTTACCATCAAATCAGGTCTGACTGGTACAGGAGGAAATTGTTCCTCCTTCTTCAGCAGAGCATCTGGTGGATTTGAACCGTGTACCTCTGAGATTGCAGTGCAGCTTCTTGCCACTAGGCCACCAGAGGTCGCTTACATTTTATTGGTTTTTTGTGTGTGTGTGTGTACTGTCAAAACGAATCTGACTGGTACAGGAGGAGATTGCCCCCTCTTCTCTGGTACAGGAGGAGCTTGTTCCTCCTTCTTCAGCAGAGCATCTGGTGGATTTGAACCGTGTACCTCTGAGATTGCAGTGCAGCTTCTTGCCACTAGGCCACCAGAGGTCGCTTACATTTTATTGGTTTTTTTTGTGTGTGTGTGTACTGTCAAAACGAATCTGACTGGTACAGGAGGAGATTGCCCCCTCTTCTCCAGCAGAGCCTCTGGTGGATTCGAACCACATGCCTCTGGGATTTCAGTGTATCTTCTTGCCACTAGGCCACCAGAGGGCCCTACAAAGTATACATTGTGTTTTGTAAAATCAGTCACCATCAATCTATACTCACTATTTCCCTGTCTTTTCAGGTCCCCACTGGATCTTTCCTGATTGTTATACCCCCTCCCTACACCCACCAGACTCTGAGATCCCACACTTTGCCCCATCCCCACCCTCCACTACCCTAGCCCTTCCACTTCCACCTTTGGACTCTTGTGTTCATCCTGCTAGTCATCCTTCGTGGGTGTATGCAGTATTTGTCCTTAACACATTGCCGCAAATGACGGCTAAATGTGTTTCTAAGCATCGTCGTCAATTTAAAAGTGTTCAGCTACGTGTTAAGAGACGGAATTTGTTCACTCTGCTGTTTTTTGAGTGACAGACAACCCAAGAAAAAATCCAAAGCGCTTCTGTGATTTATAGATGGTCAGACCCTTCTACTACTGTAATTTCTAGCTGGGGTTTTTAGGTTGTTTTCCTTTTAAACCATAGACTAGAAGCCTGGCATTTCTGGAGAGGTTACAGCAGTTAGATATTGTCTAGTGGAGTCTGCCTCCTAGCAGCCCTCTAAAAAACAGCTTGAAACCTCGCCCTCCCCTGCACCATCCTCCTTACCTCCACCATGCTTAAGCTTGGGCATTATTTGTAGGGGAAGTCTGTGGAGTGGATAATTTCAGGAAAAGAGGATTTCCACTTGAAACGTGTCTTTTGTCATTGTCTTTTAGGGCTTGTTGGAGTAAAACTACTGAACAGAATAAGATACTGCGCCATTAGATGTCATCAGTTGTGCCTTCAGACTGGAAAAGTTGAACTTGATGAAACTTGCCGCCTACTGTGAGGGGTGAGGTAGATAAGCACACCTCGTCAAGGCCATGGGCTTCAACCTGACGTTCCACCTTTCCTACAGAGTCCGTTTACTGCTGCTTTTCACCTTATGCCTCATGGTGGTTGGCTGGGCCACCAGCAACTACATTGTGGACACTATTCAAGAGATTCCTAGAGCAAGAGATTTTATGACTAATTTTATCAAGGCGACAGATCGGGTGAATGAAGAAACTCGGACAGAAAAAGCACCTGTGAAAAAAGCCGAACCTGAAAAATGCCCTTCTGTGTCTCCATACCTCAGTAAGCTTTTTTTTTTTTTTAAAGTTCTTTATAAGTCCTATATAAACTTATGATTTAAGTATGAAGCATTTATAGCTACATTTTTTTAAAACAAACGTACTGTGGAATTTACATGTATATGAAGGATCGAATAAACAGCTTCTTTTATCACTAACTTCCCTTTAAGACTTACACGAAATGTTAAATTTTCCTGGTTTTGAATTTCATATAATTGGAAACATGTTATTATTGTGCTCTTTTATGTTTGGCTTCGGTGCTTAATTCTGTGTTCACAGGATCTCTCCTGTTAGTTTGCTATTATAGTTACTATAGTTTGCTCATGTGCATTGTTATATAGTGTTTAATTGTATGGACAGAACCAATTTTATTATCAGCTACAAAAATCTCAGCAGTGTACAACGTATATTGATTTATAGATCCTTAGTGTAAGCTGGCACTCTGCTGCTCTGGATTGGGGCTCAATTCTACACATCTCTCCTGAGGTCAATCGGCTCGCTTGGGCCTGTTCTTCTTATGTCCTGAGCAGAGTACAAGAGTGCAAATGTGAAAACATTACTATGTTCAAGCCTCATTTTATGCCACATTATTAACATGTGTGTGACCAAAGTATGGGATGAAGGGGCAGCAACCAAGTTTTTAGTATTTCTAAAAGACATTGTATGATCTTGCCTTTCAATTTAGATTAGTACTTTTAGTGACTATTAAACCAAAAGAGGGGGGTTCAGGGAGCATAATCCTTAAGGAGTTGTTCTGCTAGTCTAAGAGCGTCAGCACCTCCATGAGAGAAAGATGGTCAGTCCCTTCCTCGAAAGATTGACCTCCGGTAAAGAGGTGATGTCCACTAGAGGAGCGACTATGAATTGTCTCTGACTCAAAGGTAATGACTTTGAATTTTTTGCATTCAGAACTCAAAGAGTCCCTTGATAGCACAAACAGCTAGGCGCTTAACTGCTAATCAAAAGGCTGGTGATACTGGTTCACCCAGAGGCACTTCAAGGAGAAAGTCTTAGTGATCCACTTTGGAAAAGTCAAAGCCGTTGAAAACTCCAAATAGTGTAGTTCTATTCTGATACACGTAATTGTGTCTGTGAATTGGAATTGACTTGAAAACAACTGGTGTAAAGAGGAGAGAGAGAGAGGGGATGGGAGAGAGAGAGGAAAACAGACAGAGACAGAGAGACAGACAGAGACAGAGAGCGAGAGCGAGTGAGTGAGCAACACACACACACACACGCACACACACACACTTTCCAGAATTCTTTCTTACTCATCTTGATTCTCTGAAACATAAAATTCTTACAGTTCTTCTAACACTCCTTTGAGTGTCCTTACTCTTGTTGTTTCCTTTTCTTTCTCAGTTCATGCCTGCCTGATGGACTTCTGCTTATTCATTGCTGATTTAGTTTAGATGTTTTTCCTTCCAATAAGGCTTCTGAGAGAGTTAATCTTGTGTTCTCAATGTCCTTCCCTGTATTTTTACTGGCATTACTCACTCACTCAGTTATTCACTGTTGGGAGTGAACACTGACTCATTGTGGCCGTCCTGGGTTTCAGAGGCTGTAAATCACAATGGAAGGAGACTGCCTGTCTTTCTCTAGTGGAGCCATTGGTGGTTTCAAACTGTTAATGATATCCAGTCAGCCTTTGAGTTAACAGTGCAGTTCCTTATGAATTGGGCCCCTAGAGCTCCCTCATCATAGCATATTGTTCAAATATTTACCTTCTTCAAGCGACGAAGAGTAGGATGACAGATCTTTTCCAGCTCTCTGAAGTCCAGTGCCTCTCACAGGACCAGCCAGGAGTGACACTCTACATCCACTAAGTTCATACTCTCTCTGGTATGGCTGTGGGCTCTTCAGAGATGTGATGCTCTTGGCAAAAAGCTGCAGAAGCTCTTTCTTCACGGAATCATGGTCTTGTGGTGAATTCCTATTGGCGTGCTATTTCAATAATGGAAAAGCCAAAACAATTTCTTCTAATTGGTTTGGTTTGGTTTTGTTCTCCCTCTGCCCCCCCTCCCCCCCCAAAAAAAGATAGTTTATTCTGACATGCTGTATAAGAGGAAGAAGATTGGCAAAGAGAAGGAGAATTAGACAGCTGGTAGCATGGCTAATCCTGAGACTACCCCCGATTCTTAATTGTTGAGGAAATTGTTCTGCTCACAGATTATCAAGTTGGAAGAAATGCAAATAGGATTTATATTCTCTCCCTGATGAAAATCCTCAAACAATATTTGAGAAATAAGTTTGTTCATCAAGCATAGGTGGGCAGTGATGTAATTCTGAATAAGTCCCTGGATTAAAGTGTGAGTAGACAGGGAACTCTGGTGGCATCATCCCTCGGGTGTTACACTGTTAACCCAATGGTGAGCCTCTCCGGTGATTTGAACCCAGAGGGGCTCCACCGGAAGAAGATAGGCAGTCTGCTCCTGTGTGATTTACAGCCTCAGACACTGTGAGTTAGTTGGTTCCCACTCCATGGCAATGAGTGAGTGAGGGATAACTGGAAATGAATGACGAAGAGCCGTTAGTGACCCAAGGGGGTGGGGGGAAGCTAGAGAAGATGTGATGGGGATGGTAGGGGGAGGATGAGAGGAAGGTGGTGTGTGCTGTGTGTGCCATTAAGTTGATTTCATCTCACAGTGTGACCGCACGTGTCAGAGTAGAACTGCCCTGTGTGGTTCCTAGGCTGTCATCTCTGTGAAAGCAGGTTGTTGAGTGTTTTCCTCTGTAGATTTGCTAGTGGATTCAAGTCATCGACCTTTTCATTAACAGCCAAGTACTTTAACCATTGTGCCAACAACCTTCTTTAGTAGAAGGCTCACTCTGCTCTTGAGTTTCTGAGGCTGAGTTTTAAAGAGAAGGAACTGCCCATCTAACTCCCACAGAGCCGCGGGTGGACTGGAGTCAGCAGATGCACATCTTGGGGAGCAGCGCACCTCGCTGTGGACTGTGTGTGCCCCCAGAATTCCCCTTGTAGGAGGTTAGGGTACATAACAAGACAGTGAAAAATTGAGCAAGAGACTAATTTATTTCTAACGTATTGCCAGAACAGAGACACAATCAGCTTATCTTAGATAAAGCCATGCCATCATTTTCCAACTGCATCTCCAAGAGCTTGCCTTCCACCTGCCTCCATCCTGCACTGTCTGGAAGGGTCTTAATAACGGCTGACTGTCTCCTATGCACACCATGCAGGAAAGTCTCTTAGAGGCCCAGTCACTCCCACTGACAGGTGGTTTGAAGCAGTTACTTGAATCTCAGTCTCTTTATAGACACTAGAGCCTAGTTTAAGCAGCCGTGACCAGGTTAAATCACATGAAGCACTGTAAGGTGACTCACACACAGGAAGTGCCTGTGACTGATTTCTCAGAAGAAGATAATGAAATTTGTAAGGGTATTGAGATTTTACAGCCTGCTAAGTGTGTGGTGGTAGTGTTGTGTACCGTCAGGTCAGAACTGACACATAGCTGACCCTCCAGTGGATTTTCAAAGACAATAAATCCCACAGGAGGAGATTGTCCATCCTTCTCCCAGAGCAGCTGGTAGATTTGAACTGTGTACCTTTGGGATTGCAGCCCAGTTTCTTACCATTAGGCCACCAGAGCTTCCTTGACAAGTATATACAGAGTTTAATAATAATAATTGCTTAATTTAGTTCCCAAACTAGTACTCCACCTCCCTTCTTGCTCACTTAGTGAATTAAAATGTAAAATGGAGCCACTGCTGCGGCGTCCATTCCAACTCATGGCAACCCTCTATTGGGTTTCCAAACCTATAAATCTTTTTTTTTTTTATTTTTATTGTATTATTTTTATGTGTACCGTCAAATCAGATCTGACTAGTACAGGAGGAGATTGCCCCCTCCTTCTCCAGCAGAGCATCTGGTGGATTTGAACCGCATACCTCTGGGATTGCAGTGCAGTGTCTTGCCACTAGGCCACCAGAGCTCCCTTAAACCTGTAAATCTTTATGAGAGAAGACAGCCTCCTCCTTCTCCCCTGGGGTGGTTGTTGGATTTGAACTGTCCATATTCTAGTTTGCAATCAGACCTATTACCTACTGTGCCACCAAAGTAGAAATAAGGATTGGTGGCTTCTGCCTGACTGTTAACACTTGGCATACGATTAGTTGAGGCAGCATGACCACTGAATTCTATCCATTCTAGAAGCTTCCAGACTCATTTAACAAATGCTGTGCATGACTGAAAATACCTACAACTGGGAAGAGTAGAGTCATTATTGCCAGCGATCACACATACCTATTTCCACAGGCACTTAAGAGAGTGAGCTCTGTTTCATTCCAGGGCTTTCTGTGCAGGAAAGCTTGCTCCCAAGAGCTGAGGGAAGGAGTGGGAAAGAACCTTGTCTATGAACTTTGTTCCTTTCATCCTCTTTATTTTAGGAGATTAGAATGTGTGAGGGGAGAAGAGGAAAGAGCAAAAGGACACTTGAAGAGTCTAGCCCTCTTCTTTTCTCTTCAAAGTCACTATGTGTCTGCACCAGTGTCTAGATGAAACAGAATCGTGTGGTGGTTTTCAACCACAGGGAGTGCCTTTATTTATCAGTTACTTGGATTTGTGGCCAGTTACCTCAATTACATGCATGTGATACTATTGTTTATGACTAAGTGGAGCTTTAAAGTAAAAACAATAAAAGCTAACACACACACACACACACATATAGTGTTTACTGGATACCGGGCAATATCCCAAGTGCTTTTTATGTATTAACTCATCAGAGCCTTTCAACACGTCCCTGGGTCTCACAGACATTTAAACACTCAACTACTAACCAGAAAATTGGCAGTTCAAAAGCACCCATAGGTGTTTCTGAAGATAGGCCTGGCCACCTGCTTCTTTAATGTTACCACCTTGAAACCCAAGGATTCAGTTCTAGCCTCTACCCATGAGCTGCCATCCATTGAATAGGCAACTGACAACAAGCTTCTCAACACCTTGTGAGACAGGCGTTCTTTTTGCCTCTGTTGTATGTTTGCTGTAGGAGGCCAGAGCAAGCTGGTTTTCAAGCCAGATCTCACTTTGGAAGAAGTACAGGCAGAAAATCCCCAAGTGCACAGAGGCCGGTATCACCCCGAGGAGTGCCAGGCTCTGCAGCGGGTGGCCATCCTCATTCCACACCGAAATAGAGAGAAGCACCTCATGTACCTGCTCGAGCACCTGCACCCCTTCCTGCAGAGGCAGCAGATGGACTATGGCATCTTCGTCATCCACCAGGTGAGCGTGACAAGCAGATCAGAGCCCTGTGCTCTGGAGCTTCTTCTCTCTGAGGACCTGACACGCCACATGATCTTCAGACGATATTAGCCCTGAGGAGAGACAAGGAAGGTCACATCCCAGGGTGCGGCTTTATGGGGCCAAGTTACTGGCCTTTACACAAACCTCTGGAGGGAACCGTTTTTTGTTGTTGACAGTTCCATGTTGGGCAGTGATTGCTGGAAGATTTCCCCAGGAGCAACAGGCCCTTTTGCATTTTTGCTCTGTGCTGCATAACGAGGTTTTTGCATTATCTGTCATTGCTGAGAATGCAGTGACTATTCAGTGGAGGTCTAGACAGAGGGTTGACAGAATACTGTGTGTTACTAGCCATCAAGTGCTGTGGCCATAAAGTTGTCACTTTTTATTATGGAAAATGTGTTATGTTTAATGTTCACTTTCTTGATTCAGCTGTTTGTCTTCCAGGAAGATGATTTAGTAGGAACACAATGTAACTGTAGGCTGCTTTAGAAGAGCTCAGGTCTGAGGTCAGTGGAGCAGATGACTGAAGATGCCTTTATTTGGTATTAAAATTATTTGAGAGGAAAGTGAGGTATTAGTGTAAACATCATGTATAGCTTTTTTTGAAATCAGCCTGGGCCATTCAGATGGTTTCTGTTCAAAATCTTAAAAACAATGTAAGCATGCAAGTGAAATCATTAGTTTCCTGCTTGATATTAGTGATGTTTGCTATTGTTAGTCATCATGAAGTCATCTCCCAACTCAGTGTAACTGTGGAGCAGATTGAAATGCTTCCTGAACCCATGCCATTCACACAGTTGGACCTTGCAAACTGGACCTTGGTGTGCCATAGGGTTTTTATGGATTGAATTTAGGAATTAGATGGCTTTCTAATTAGATGGCCTTTCTTTCTAGTCTGGAAGCTCTTTTAAACCTGTTTAGCATCATAGCAACATTCATGCCCCCAGAGAGGCAGTGGTGACTGTGTGTGAAGTACATCGAGCCCTGGGCGCCTCCATAGGAGGGAAGAATTCAGCCATCACCCTGGCATCCACTTCCTAAACAACATGCCTCTGGAAACTCTGAACTTTGATACGCGTTGGTAGTTGAAGAGGGGCTTAAGGCCTTTTGTTCATAGGGTCGCTATGAGTCATGCTCTTGAAGGCAATCAACAACAATAACAACAACCCTCTAATGCTAGTCAGCTAATGTGACTGTGTATATTTTATAATAAATAGGGCTCTTGAAAAAATTAATAGATTTAAGTTGTGAGAGGGACATCATGCTTGGGAGGGTGGAGGGATGGCGCAGGAGAGGAAGGCCCTCTATGAGGTGTACTGATTCAGTGACTGGGGTAATCAGGATGGGAGTGTCAGAGACAGTGCGATTGGCACAGGACAGAGCGGAGTTTAGGGCTGTTGTACATAGGGTCGCTAGGAGTCGTAGGCACATAACAACAACAACAACATATATTTTCAAGGACTTGAAACAAAGTATTGTTACATTGTTATTGTTTTTATTACGTACCATCAACTTCAACAGACTCATAGCTGACGTTCCAGTGTGTTTTCAGAGACTGTAAGGGAGGAGAATGCCCATTTTTCTCCCATGGAGCAGCTGGTGTATTTGACCTCCGCCTTTGGTTTGGCAGTGCAACTCCTTATGACTGAATCCCCAGAGCTGCTTACATTAGTTAATGATATTTTGTTTCTCTTAAGCTTGGTTGATTATAGCTAAGATTTATTTGGTTTTGAGTTCTTACTTTGGGTAACAACCTTCAAAGTAATAGTTTTCTAAAAACAACGGTATGTTTGTTTTGTATTACTCCCCCCTTCCCTCCAGAAAAGCACTGTGGCAACATCTGAGAACTGCCTGTACTTTTGTTGTGATAAACTGTTTATTGAACCAGAATTTATTCTTGCAGTTTTTTGATCCAGGCAGTCATGACAAAATTAATACGGTAAAGCTTTCACTATAGCTTTGGTTGTATTACAGGTCAAATCTTGGTTTTCTTGTTTATTGTTTTTTTAACCCAATCAGAAGTCTTGCTCCAGAAAGGCACAGAGAGGATTAGCTTTTACCATTACTGTTACACAGGATTCTGTTACAATGATTCCAAGAAACTTTTAAATAGGTTAGAAATACTAGCAATAACCTTCTTTGTTTTTAGGCCAAGGTTTCTGGATCCTTCCTGACTAGCCATTAATTACATTTCTTGGAAGCTTGTAACTTTAGAGCAGAGGCTAAGATTGGGATCAGCTGGAAGTTGAACATGACGAAGTAGATACTAATTGGTCTGACTAATATGCAAGAAAGGTTTTGTTGGTTTTACAAGGTGTGGGGTATTTTTAAATTTTTTTTAAGTTTTGGAATATAAATACGTGTTGGACCTAAGTTAAAGAAAACAACTAGTGGTTTTTTATTGTTATTATGGAGGCAAGGATTCTGAGGCTCCATCTAACATACTTTGGACATGTTGTGAGGAGAGACCGGTCCTTGGAGAGGGACAGCGCAGGAGAGGAAGGCCCTCTATGAGGCGGATTGATTCAGTGACTGGGATAATTGGGATGGGTGTGTCAGAGACAGTGCGATTGGCACAGGACAGAGCGGAGTTTAGAGCTGTTGTACATAGGGTCGTTATGAGTCGCAAGTGACTCGACGGCACATAACAACAACAACAACAACATCTAATCTTTGTATCACTGGAAGAGTCTGATGAGCTAGCAAAAAGAAATCCAGCTCCACCTCAGAACAAAAGAGGGTCACCGTATGAACCTAACTCAGATTTCTTTTTTTTTTTTTAATTATAATTATATTTTATTAATTTTCATAAACATTTACAGAGATTTTGGGCTTCCACTCATTCATTGTTGCACTATTCTCTCTACCCTCCTTACAGTTTGTTCTTGTCCAAATGCCACAGTGCTTGTCAAAGCCAGTTCTGATTAATCTTCTTTGTCAGTGTATCCTTTGCCATTCCCTATCACTCCTCCCTGAGAGAGACTTCACCCTGAGTCATAAGGAAAAGGGGACGGCGTATTCTCTTAGCTACTTCCTGCTGAAAAGGGACGCTGTGGGTTTCAGGGTGAAGCTCTTCTCTCACTACTCTAAAGGGCCCCTTTGGCAGTAGGAAACACATAGACTATTATGGAGATTGATTTTGGAATTCAGATGCACTCTTATTGATTGTGCTTGGCTGTACATGTACATATCCTTGAAGATGTATCATGGGGGTGTTGCAACCTAGAAGACACAAATTTGACTAACAAGTTATAAGTACATGAGTCCAAAAATTATGGAAAAGTAAAAGAAAAGATTCTTTCATTGTTTTACAAACCCTCCCCCAGGTCCCCTCCACCATGTAGCCCTCGCTCTAGTCTCCTGTGATGACAGAAATACCCAGTTACATCTCTCTTTTAAACGGTTCTCTCCCTCCTCTGTTTCAGTGCAGTATACATTATTGAACCCATCTTACTCAGTCTCTCCCCAACCCCAAGGACAGTCCCATTCTACAACAGTGGCATCATGTAATATTTGTCCTTTTGTGACTGGGATATTTCACTCAGCATAATGTTCTCCAGAGTCAACCATTTTGAATAATATTGCATGAGTTCCTTGTTTTTTAATGCAGCATAGTATTCCATTGTGCGAATATACCACAGCTTCTCTAGCCATTCGTTTGTTGATGGGCACTTAGGTTGTTTCCAACTCCTTGCTATTGTGAACAAAGCTGCAATAAACATGGGTGTGCATATATCTACTTGGATGTCAGCTATGGTCTCTTCAGGGTATATTCCCAGTAGTGGAATTGCTGGGTCAAATGGTATCTCTATTTGCAACTTTTTGAGAAAGCGCCATACTGCTTTCCACAGGGGTTGTACCATTTTACACTCCCACCAACAGTGAATCAGGGTTCCAGTTTCTCCACAACCTCGCCAGCATTTGTTGCTTGCTGTTCTGTTAAATTTTGCTATTTTGACTGGGGTGAAATGATATCTCATAGTTGTTTTAATTTGCATCTCTCTTAGGGCTAGGGATTTTGAGCATTTCTTCATGTGTTTGTTAGCCATCTGAATGTCGTCTTCGGTGAAGTGCCTGTTCATATCCTGTGCCCATTTTTCTATTGGATTATTTACCTTTATCTTGTTGTGGTGCTCAAGTATTTCATAAATTCTGGATATAAGTCCCTTATCTGATATGTTATTACCGAATACTTTTTCCCAGTCAGTGGCTTCCCTTTTTACCCTACTGGAGAAGTTTTTGGATGTGCATAGGGATTTGCTAACTCAGATTTCTAATTGAATAGGCTGGAAGTAAAAAGTTTAATCGAGCCAAACTTATGAATGTGGGCTACCTCGAAGCTCTCAAGGAAGAAAATTGGGACTGCTTTATATTCCATGATGTGGACCTGGTGCCGGAGCACGACTTTAACCTTTATAAGTGCGAGGATCAGCCAAAGCATCTGGTGGTCGGCAGGAACAGCACTGGGTACCGGTAAGGAGGCTCTCCTGGTGGGATGGCTGGGGCAAGCAGCTTGCCATGCTGTAAGCAAGGCTGTGATAGTGTGCTGTCCTGGGTCTATGACCTAGCTTGTCAAAGTCAATACAGGCATGGGAGGAACTAATGACAAACAACAGAAACCCACCACACACTTGGCAGACGATCACAGAGACAAAAGAGAAAGGATAGGGGAGGCGAAGTAACTCAGGCATTGCAAAAGGTGGCCAGCAGGACTGGCCTGGAGTGGAACCTTCTGCAAGCTTCCAAGGCCTTACTGTCAAAAGTCATGGCAGTTACTGCTGCCCTTTACTTCCCTCTCTAGAAGAACACAGGCTCATGCTCCTCAGGTCAGCCTGGAGGTCTCTATTATGAGACTTAAGATGCCACTCTGAGCTGGAATCTTTCCAGAATTCTGGGAACAAAGGGGAGGAACGTATTCCACTGTGTAGTCTCTTCAGGAGCCAGGACACTAGGACAGTCTCTTTCTCCCCAAGCCACTGTGGGAAGTGCTAGGGACCATCATTGCTGTCTTTATGGCCTTCATCCCACTACTCCTACTCCTTCAAGAGAAGCATGGTTGGCTTTTAACCTTGTTTATTGCATATTAATTTTATGCCAGCTTTTTTTTTTATTAATTATACTGGTTTATTTACAAAGTTCATATACATTGTTTCTCACATCGGATTTTGCATTCCCTTCACCTCCCTCCCTTCACTCATTAAATGATGTGAGGCTATGATAACCCCATTCCCCAGCCCATCCTCACCTTCTGTTCCCCCCCACCCCCGTATACTCACACTTGTTCTACATTAACAGTCTTATACAGTATTTGTCCTTATAGGACTGAGTTAGTTCACTCAGCATAATGCTCTACAGTCCTTCCAAGTTAAGTAATAATTTACAAAATCATTACTCCTGCATGCTGCGTAGTATTCCATCATGTGAATGTACCATAATTTCTCAATCCATTTGATTGTGGTTGAACATGTGGACTGTTTCCGTATTCTTGCGATTATACCAGCTCTTATTCAAACACAACTGAGGGGAAATAGCAGCCAAGAAAATGTCTGTGCTGCTGAAGACATTTGCTGTGTGCATGCATGTAGCTGTCAGCCTCTTCCTTTCCTGCCTCCTGTGCACTCACACCTGTGGTGCTGTGTGAGGGACCACAGACAGGTTGGAATAGTGCCTTCCCCCTGCAGCTTCCTGTTGAATGGCAGCTTGAGGAGACAAGTAGCTACAGCAAAGTTGCACCACTTTTACATTTGACTTCTGTGAATTCAAGCAACAGGAGGAAGAGAGATAAAAGGAGAGATAACTATACAGTAATGCGTAGCAGCCTGGGTGTGTACTCAGGAGTAAATGCGAGATTGAAACTAAGACTCCCTTGATAGGTCACTTGGCCTTAGTTTCCAGATTGTTCTTACTGTGTAAGCTTCTCATATTGGACTAATTTAAACAGATGCTCAAGAGTAACATTGGTTGTAGGTGAATTTTGCCTCACGAACTAACTTGTCCCTGTGTCAGCGGTAGGATATAGACCAATAGCTATAATAATCACGTTGATGAGTAAGAGTGGAGTGTCTTTAAGAATAACTAGGGAAGGACGTAAAGCTGTTTCTAAAGGAAGGTGGCATCTTAGTCCCTGAGAGCTAGTCAGCAGAGTTCTAAGACAGGCAAACAAGAGCCAATTTGACAGTTACTGGGCCATTGCAAGTAGTTCATTAGCTCTAATGGATAAATGAGCCCTTGGAGGTAAAAGAGGTTAGAGGTGAGATTAGATGAGGCCAGATTATGCAGTCTGCTAAGAAGATTGGATTCCCTTTGGAAGGAAATGGGGAGATGTTGACACATGGTTCTTGTTAGAGAATGACAGGAGAAAGCCAAGTTTACTCAAACTCTCACTGCCCTCCAGTTGGTTCTGACTTGGGACAACTTTGCATTGGGCTTGAGGCTGAGAATCAGTCACATGAGGAGGATACTATCTGTTCTTCAGCGCTGTTGGTTCATTCAAACTGCTGGAAACATACCTAGCCTTTGGGTTAGTAATGTGACTCCCTATGGACCATGCTGTCATAAACTCGGTTTAAACAGTGTTCAGTGTATTGCTCAGAGCAAGGATGGAGGGGAAAAACAAAACTGAGACATGCCACATGACAGAACAGGGCAGTAACAGTAGGACAGACTCACAGAGCAGGATTCCAGAGATGAACCAGAGGTGTTTTTCCTTTGTAAATCTTAATTTCATTTTGGAGGCTTTTCTGTTCTCAGTCTCCACCTCAATGTTGAATAAAATAGCAATATTATAGGCCAAGTAACTCAGATTTTCAGAAGCATGTAGAATTTTCCATCTTTTCACTAACTGTGTAAAATTAAGAAGATATTACCTGCAAAGTACTTCACCTTCAAATCCATGCCATAGATAACAGTTCTTTCTAACATCAGCAATATGAAATTCTAATAATAGAGGATTATTTTAAAGAGGACATTAGTCTGGGATTTTGGATTTTATACTGGTATTAAATCATGTCATTAAAAAGCCATTCCTGCCTGGATTTTATCTGAGTTACCCTTTGATGTCACAATCTTGGCTTCCATCAGGGATTCTCCCTCTAAGGTCAAGGAGTATGTGTACAAATCCTGCTGTTCTAACTTCTTGTTGTAGTAAGCCAGACAGCTCTTTGGTAACTAAATGTCTGGAAAGGCTTTGTCACCCATAAGTAACTGACCGGTTTCCATAAGCATGTGATGTGAATCAGTTACTTAAATATATCTTACATTTTGATCAGATGCTAAAAGTGCTGAGCCAAATCCGTGACCTTCTTTTAGAAACTGATTGCTCTTATTTTAAGATTAGGGTTCTAGTGTAGTTTCCATCTTCAGCTCTTCCAATTTTTTTCCTCTGGTCTTCATTTATAATTTACATTTTTATAGATAGTAAATATTATTAAATATATTTATTATTTATATATTATTAAATTATAATATGAAATAGTATAGCTATTAAAAGATATTATATATTGTCCTTGTTGTTATGTGCCGTCGAGTTACCCATGACCCATTGTGACCCTATGTATAGCAGCTCTGAATCTGTCTATTCTCCCCGCCCTTCCCCCCATCTACCTAGTGGCAAGAAGCTGCACACTACAATCCTGGAGGCACCAGCTGCTCGGTGGGAGAAGGATGGGTAGTCTCCTCACTTGGGATTAACTGCCTCTCAAACCCCAAGGGTCAGCTATGGGTCCGTTCCGACTTTATGGTACACAACAACAACAACAACAACTATATTATAATACTATTTAATTGCCTCTTTTTTTTTTAAACCAGGGAGGGCATGAATAAATAAAAGTTGACCTTTGACAGTGCTTTTCACCTTTGCTACTTGGAGCACAATCCCTTTCATGGTTGGTGATTATAGTTGCAGAAAATTTAGTGTCTGCCTCCCTGTTGGCAGCAGTGTGTCATTGGACATAAGCCACAGATATTAACTGTTCTTGTTCACTCACTCATTTTCATTGCTTTTGAGGCAGAACTGACTCAAGCTGACCCATCAGCAGGTTTTGAGAGACTGTAAATAGAGCAAGAGGAGACTGCCTGTCTTTCTTCCTCAGAGCAGCTGGTGTATTTGAACCATCTGCCTTTGTAATGGCAGCACAACTTTTCATCCACTAGACCACCAGACTGCCCTGCTCTTGCTAGATAGTGCCAAGGGGATTCTAACTCCTAGAAACCCTATGAACGATATGTCAAAACGTTTCCTGAGCTTGTTGCATACTTGCAGTCTCCACTGTTAAGTCTGTTGTTACAGGGTCTTGTTGAGGGTCTCTTCTTTCCCTGTCCTCTGCTTTTCCAAGCCTGATGTCCTCTTCTGAGATAAGATGCCCCAAATATGATCCTTCCAAGGTATCATGACCCTTTCTGATAACATGCCCAAAATATGTGAGATGGAGTCTCATCATCCTTGCTTCTAGGGAGTACCCAGGCGGCCTTTCTTCTGAGATATTATTTGTTCATTTGGCAGCCCATGGTATAGTTAGTAATCTTCACCAACAACACAATTTGAAAGCATTCATTCTTTAATCTTCCTTATTCATCGCCCAGCTTTCACAAGCATGTGAAATAATAAAAAAAGACAATGTGTTGGGTTAGTTTTGAAATGGATATTTTTGCACTTTAGCATTTAAAGCAGTCTTTGGTAAGAGTTTTACTCAGTGCCATAGATTTTTTTTTTTAATTTGTTGACTGCTGTGTCTATGGGTATTGATAGTGGATCCAAGTAAAGTGAAATCCATGGCACCTTTAATCTTCACTTCATTTAGCCTGATTCTGCCTATTGGTCCAGTTGTGAGGATTTTTTTTTTTTTTTTTGGAGATTTTAATGAAAGTTTATAGAGAACTCGGATTTCCATTCATTCATTGTTGCACATTTTCCTCCTCTCCCCCAGTTTACATTTTTCTTTGGAAAAAAAATTCTTTCATTGTTATACAGTCACACACACACCCCCTTACTATGCAGCTCTTATTCTGGACTCTTCCCATGCCAATAATATCTTATCATATATTAATTTTGTACAGTTCTCTTCCTTGTCTGTTTCAATGCCGTGTACATTATTTATCCCCTTTTCTTAGTTTCTCCCCAACCCCCATGTCAGTACTGTTTTATAACAGTGACATTGTGCAGTATTTGTCTTTTTGTGACTGAGATATTTCACTCAGCCTAATACCGTCTATGGTCACCATTTTGTATATTTCATGAGTCCTTTGTTTTTCAGTGCTGCATAATATTCCTTTGTGTGAATATACCACAGGTTTTCTGTCCATTTGTTGATGGGCACTTGGGTTGTTTCCAACTCTTTGCTATTGTGAACAAAGCAGCAGTAAATATGGGTGTACATATATCTACTTGGGTGGTAGTTCTGGTTTCTTTAGAATATATTCCCAATAGTGGAATTGCTGGGTCAAATGGTATTTCTATTTGCAGCTTTTTGAGAAAG